AACGCTGAGGGCCAGTGGTCGATGCAGTCCTCCGGATACGGCTTCGGCAACCGGGTGATGTTGATCATCTTCAAGCCGATGTAGGTGGACTGCTGCGGCGCCACGAAGATGGCCTCAGAGGCGGAGTTGCCTGTAGACACAAGTTTGGGTAAGTCTCGATTTCTATTTCTATTTATCTGTTATCACTGTTTACTACCACTACTTACCAATCTCATCGGGGTGCTGTATCATGATGATGGCGCCAATCTGCGTCGTCCCCGTCAAGTACTCGCTGATCTCCAGGTTGAGCACAAACTCTAGCCCGTAGTTGACCCCTGCAATGGAGGTCTCGTCCTTGATGCGGTCCAGGTAGTTCTTCCGTAGCTTCTGCCCCTTGAAGGTGAAGCAGTTGCCCTCGGTGGGCGTGAAGAAGGACTCGAAAGACTCCTCGCTGGTGCAGTTGGTGGAGCGAATGGTGCAGCGGAGGATGAAGTCCTCAAACTGGTGACCGAGCTCCTGGGCGATCTTCTCATTGGAGTTGTAGATGACAGCCAGCCAGTTGGTCAGGTTCTCCTGGAGCTCCTTCTCCTCGCGCTCAGTCAGCTCGATGTCGTTTTCCGGCACAATGGGCGTCGATGACTGGCCGTCACTACCGGTCGCCGACGATGATCCTTTGCCTGAAGCAGACGGCTGCTTGTTTGGCTGAGGTTGTTGTTGTTGCTGCTGCGGAGGTTGTTGTTGCTGTTGTTGAACTTGAGGTGGACTGTTGTTTGGACTGTTTGAAATGCTGTTGTTGTTGTTGACATTCTGACTGTTACTATTTGTGCTGTTAGTTGATGACGATGATGATGATTGCATCTCTGATGATGGCTGACCCTGATTGGGGTTTTGCCCGGTGGCAGTGGCGAAACTGGAGGTGAGGTTGTTCAGCTTGGCCAGCAGCAGATCGGCGACATTGCCCGCCTTGGTGGTTGCCTTTCGCTTTTCTCGCTTGTTAGCATTGGTGCTACTTTCCGGAATGGGCATCGAGATGTCATTCGGTATGTCGGCCATTGCCGTTGTCGGGGAAAGGGTCGTCGTCGTGGTGGTGGTAGTGGTAGAAGTCGTCGATGTTGTCGTCGTTGTGGAAGTTGTTGAAGTCGTCGTAGCTGTACTTGTAGTACTTGTTGTTGGAGTTGGCGTTGTAGAACTCATGGTTGTCTCTGTAGAGTTGTTGATGGCGTTTAGATCACTTTCAGTTCGGTTGCCGCTGTTTGAAGTCTCTACTGCTGTTCCATTACTGAGCACCGTTTCATTGCCCGTCTTGTGTTTGCTCATCACCCCGTAGCTGTTGATGTCATCCTGGATGGAGTCGCCGTCGGTGGTCGAGGCGGTGGTCGTGCCCAGCTGACCGGAGTTGGAGTTGTTATTGCCAGTGGAGCTATTCGCTGCTCCAGCTGCACCTCCAGCAGCACTGTTGGCACCAGAAACAGCTCCAGAACTGGTACTGCTAGTGCTGCTGCTCGGTTGCTGCCTCGTTCGACTAGTGGGCGTCGTGTTGGTGTTCCTGCCGCGACTGTTGGTGGTGGTGGTGGTCGTCGTTGAAGATGATGATGGTCGAGTGCGTGAAGAGGTGGTGGTACTCGTTGAGGATTTTCGATTCGAATGGTTATGATTATTATTATGATGGTGCTGCTGCTGCTGTTGCTTCTTTCTGCTAGTTTGATGTCCACCATGTCCTTTACTGCCACTGCCACCACCACCAGGACTGTCTTTGGACGCAGTTTGTGTGTTGCTGTTACCGGCCATGTGTTGGGGATGAGGTGTGGTGACACTGGCAACCGTGGCACCACCTCCACCACCATTTCCTCCTCCATCTTGATTTCCTTTTCCGTTATTACCATTATTTCCACCACCACCACCGGCTGAATTACCATTACCACTACCACCGCCATTATTTCCATTATTTCCATTCCCACCATTTCCATTTCCAGCAGCACCGGAGGAAGCAGCCGAGACAGAGGCGGCGGCCGCCGCCGCCATTGCCGCAAACTCCTTTGCATCCTTCGCATCCTTTGCATCCTTTGCCGCCGCGGACGGCTGAATGGCGCACAGCTTCTCGCGCAGATCCCGGGGAATCATCGAGTCTTTGATGGCAGAGACGTTGGTCATGCAGAGCGCCGAGTAGCGGACAATGTTCAGATTGCAGACGGTGACGGCGGGAAACTGCAGANCTTCTCGCGCAGATCCCGGGGAATCATCGAGTCCTTGATGGCAGAGACGTTGGTCATGCAGAGCGCCGAGTAGCGGACAATGTTCAGATTGCAAACGGTGACGGCTGGAAACTGGAGGCGGCGGCTGTCTCGCAGGCGAACATCGACGGTAATCGGGTAGGTGTAGTACTCAGACACCAGCTGGCTGATGTCTCGCAGGGCGAGAAAGCCGAAGAAGAAGAAAGAGCAGACCCAGAAGATGCGTCGGAGGAAGGAGCGGGAGAGGGCAATGTCGCGCACGCCCGGCAGTGAGGTCTCCCCGAAGAGGCGGATCAGGTCGGAGGGCGGCATGCTGTACTCGAGGTGGTCGTGGTAGACGACGGATGGTTTGCCTGTGCCGCCAGCGTTTCCAGCATTGGACTTTCGCGCTCGAGCGGCAGCATTTCCGGGGCGCATTTTGTTGAAGAGGCGTGCCGGAAAGCTTTTCAGGCTGTTGTTGCTCAGCGTGCTCAGTCGGCGGGCTTTGCTGGGAATGCTGCTTCGGTTGGCTCGTTTGGAAGCCGCCTCCCTTGCCTCCATCATTCGCATCATTGGTGAAGTGGCAATGTTGTGATTTCGAGTAATGATTGGCACATCAGCTGCTGCTGCAGGAGTGTTTGAGTACTGCGAGTTAAAGTCGGTGTTGAAGTTGGCGCCGTAGGTGAACTGCTGCTGCTGTTCGGCGACGGCCGCAGCTGCGACCATAGCCGCCTCCACCTCTGCCGCCGTCAGTGGAATGGTGGACGACGTCTCCTGGATGCCGTCCAGGGTGTTCTGCCATCGTTGAGGATTCTGATTCTGATTCTGGCTCAGTAGCAGCTGATTCAGCGGAGTTGAAGAATTAGCGGCAGTTTTCCTCGCAATGGTCGCCGTTCGATTTGGTCGATTGGTCCCATTGGCGTACAGCCGCTGGCGGAAGCCGTAGATGTCGGACGTCGGGTGGTGGTCACGGCCATATGAGTGTGGATGCATCGAGAGCACCGAGTGACTTTATTTTCTGGCCGTTTGTCGTTTTCTGACCAGTCAGACTGCAAAAACAAAACCAGCTGACCAAACCGCTGCTGCCCAGTGCCCAGTGAGCACTGCACTCTTTCAGAAAGAATGCTTCCAGAATGCTTCTTACATCATTCTTTCTCTCTCTCCTTTTGTCGTCTCTGCTGCTGCTGCTGTCGTGTCCTTTCGTGCTCTTTCCCTCCTGTTCCAAGTGATCTCAATTAGTCACTCACTCTCTTTCTTTCTCCTTCTTTTATTGTCAGGGGTAAAATAAACGGAGTAAATATTGACTGCTCTCTCACTTTATCGATCAATAGTCACCAATCATCGGGTGCTGCTGGTGGTGGTCAGTTGAGTGTGGTGAGCCCATTGTGACTGCCTCCTTCCCCCCACTTTCAATTAGCTTAATTGATCGTGTCTTTTCAGGTATTTTTACTTGTGCAACTCCGAGTACTTGAGCCCGGTGTCGTTGAGCAGCGTGACGACCCAGGCGTCCGGCGGCAGCTTTCCCGACTTCAGGAGCTTCACCGCCGCGGCCACATTTGCCCCTGAAGTGTAGCCCAGGTAGAGGCCCTCCTTGGAGCCGAGCAGCTTCTTGTACTCTACTGCTTCCTAAAAAAAAGATTAAAAAAGTTTTTAAAAAGCCTTTTTCAAGAACTTCTCTTCTACCTCATCGGTAACGTTCATCGCCTCGTCCATGACCTCGTAGTCGAACAGTTCGGGCACCTTGCCGTAGCCGCTGCCCTGGAGGAGGTGCAGCGGCTTGGTGACCTCCTTGCCGGCGATCACCTCGGCGCCGGCCGGCTCCACGACGACGCACTTGATGGCCGGGTTCTGCCGCTTCAGGTAGCGGGAGGTGCCCACGAAGGAGCCGGCGGTGCCCAGCGTGGCCACATAGGCGTCAATTCGGCCGCCCGTCTGCCGGTAAATCTCCGGGCCGGTGGCCTCCTCGTGGGCGCGGCAGTTGTTCTGGTGGAGAAGACAGAACAAATTAAAAATCTTTTTTTACTAATTTCTTATCAGCTTTCTTACCGGATTGTTAAACTGGTTCACGTAGAAGATGTCCGGCGTGCTGTCGATGATCTTCTGCGCGGCGGCCGTGGCCGCGTCCACATCGGCCAGCGTCACATTGCCCGGCTTGCCCTCCACCTGGGGCACCCGGTCGCAGCGGGCGCCAAAACCGACCATCATTTCCGCCCGCTGGGGACTGTTTCCCGCCGACATTGTCAGCGTCACGGGGTGGCCCATGACCGCGCCGACGAAGGCAATTCCACAGCCTTGGTTGCCGCTGGTCACCTCGATGATGGGCGCGCCCGGCTTCAGCCGCCCCTCCTCCTTGGCGTACTTCAGCATGCTGTAGGCAGAGCGGTCNAAGGCAATTCCACAGCCTTGGTTGCCGCTGGTCACCTCGATGATGGGCGCGCCCGGCTTCAGCCGCCCCTCCTCCTTGGCGTACTTCAGCATGCTGTACGCGGAGCGGTCCTTGATGCTGCCCGCAGGGTTGAGGAACTCGCATTTGGCTAGGATGCGCCCCGGACCGGGCCAAATGCGGTCGAGTGCCAACAAAGGTGTATTGCCAATTAAGTCGAGCACGCTCCCTTTGATGTCAGTCGGGCCGTACTGCTGATGCTCGGTGTTTGCCATTTTTTTCTCTGCAGGTTTGTTGTTGATGTTGTTGCGATGAAGCGAAAAAGTTGCTTGAAAATAAACGACTGTGTGTGAAGAGTGCCACCACTGAGGGAGCTCTTTATATTCTGTCGTGTTGTAGCACTGGCTGACTGACTGACACGATTGTGTCACCGACTGCTGTGTGTCTGTTATCACCGAGTGGCACTTCCACTGATAGCTCACTTACACAGTCAGTTAGCATAGATTTTTTTTGCTTTTTGAAAGAACCTTGTAGCTTCTGCTCTTTAAGCGAGTGATTGAGAACTATGCAGAGAGCACCTTTTTCAAATTTTTTTGTTTTATTTTTGTGACATAACTTAGTGGAAGAGGAAAAGAAGAAGAAAAAGAGGGGTTCCAGAAAACAGTAAGGGAAGACGGGCTAAGAATAGAAAATTAAGCAGAAAAAAGTGGAGATGCACCTAAGATGAAGAGAACATCTTTGAGTGGAGAAAATGCTCACTTTTACTGTAGAAAATGAAAAACGCGTGCTCATCACATGTGTGCAACAGCAGAAGGCAGGGAAACCTCTTCATCTCCCACTCACACCACCACCACCACCACCGCCTTCCTTGGCAACTGATGTCTGTATTCCTCACACTATTTGGTGCAAACAGTACACTTCCAAGGCTGTGGCTATCTTTTTCCTTTTTCTTAATCAATTTGTACATTTCAAGCTGTATGTCTGTCTGTCAGTCTCTTATCGCAAAACACGCATTTCATCGACAACTTTTAGTATTTTTTAAAGTTTTTTGTGGCAAAAACAGTTGCGTTTAAAAAAATGCCGTTTAGTTACATTAGTTTTTGTTTGCCTTTGAATGGGGGGATTATTTGGGTTTAAAAGTTTTTAAGTAATTAGAAAAACAGTTGTACTAATTGAACCAAAGTTAAAGTGTGCTTGCCTGTGTGATGCAACCTCTGGTAACTTGCTTGTGTAATTATTACCAACTCAAGTGCTATCTAATGACGATAATGTTTTTTTGCAAGCTATTCCCGGCTATCAGAGGTCTTGTCTTGTGTATCAGCATTGCAATGATTTGTTGAGGGTCCGTAACATACTGTACAAATGTGCAAGTGGTGACGTTCATTGCTGGCAAGCACGCGCCAGGTACAGCGTAAAAGTGTCCAATGTCCGATGGTGTAGAGCATTACCGACGACGATGAGTGCACTTCCCGTTAGGACAGAAGCATTAACCACCACTCTTGTGACCCCTTGATTAAGTGTAGTGTTTCAATTTGAGCAATTTGCTGCTACTGGTGGTGGCCACCTCAATGATTGTGAGGCACACACAGACACACTTCAATTACGACAATTAATCGATGCGCTTTTCCGGAGCCAATTAGTGACCCTACATCTAATCTAATGAACAGTTAGAGCTCTTTTACTGCCATTACTGCCGCCATTTTGCTCTTTGACTTAATTAAGCCGAAAAAGTGGTGGTCTATTAATATTAATGAGTGGTCACTGGTGAATCGATTAGAGGCATTAGCTTTGGCGGCTACTGCTGCTGCTGCTGTTGCTGTCGCAAGTGGAACACACTTTGCTCGCCGCCAGTGGAAAGGTGAAAAGATGATGAGGTGATGAGGGGTGATGATGGTGGTGATGCAAGGTGATCGAGTAGGAAGGCAGAGTGGTGATGGCTTTGATGGTGTTGATAGGGTGCTGCATCCAGATCGAACGACATCTCTTGAAGAGGCCACCTGTGTCTGATACCTGGCGATACCTTATTGAAAGAAACCCCTCTAAAGGCTACCGTTTGTTGCTGTGTTGCTGAATGTATGCTAATACGGTAACTGTTAAAAACCGTAGGCAGTACGGTTACTATCCAACACCCAAAAAGTGACTGAATCTGTGTCCATTTGAACTGGTAAATGGCGGCCGACCGTGTTGCGGCACTTCTGCTGTCCTCCTGACTGTGCAATTAGCTGCTGCTACACCATCCCCTTACTTTTTGAATGGTTCTCTTCCTCGGAAGATTTATAATATTAAAGTCTCTCCCACCTTCGTAGATGGCTTATCTTATCAATTGGCCAGTACCACTCGGCCACAGAAGAAGTGTGCAATTGTGAAGGTAGTGCAGGTAGGCTTGTTGCCCATTAGCAGCTGTGCACAACTTCGTTAGCTGCTGCTGCTTCTGCACGCCGTGCGCCGTGATCGGGTCGCACTGATCAGTCGGTCGGTCGTTTGGTCGTTGGGGAATGTCAAGTGGTCAATTTGCATTAGTCTTTTGCCATTAGAATTCTCTGAGTAAGAAGGAGCTGACGTAATTTATTGCCACACTTGTGAAGATGCTGCGGATGGGTATGCCACACGGTATGTTCAGTATGTAGCACACCGTTGGCACACTCACTCACCGGAACACGCATTCGGGCTAATCGGCTACAAATCGGCTGACTACTACTACTACTGCTGCTAATCCGCCGATGGACCCGTTTCATCAGCACATCGGCAGGCACGAGTGGCCAAGTGGCCAACTGACGAGTGGTGGCATACACAAACACAGCCACACACACACACAAACATCTGACCCCCTCTTGCTGATCTTCACCATCAGCCAAGTAGTGTACACCTTCTATCAATTTAGCAGTACAAATTCGCATCTTTTTCTCCTATTNCTTGCTGATCTTCACCATCAGCCAAGTAGTGTACACCTTCTATCAATTTAGCAGTACAAATTCGCATCTTTTTCCCCTATTTCTCTCTCTCTCTCTCTCTCTCTCTCTCTCTCTTAGTAGACAAAAAACTCATCCATTTTGTGGCTGTTTATAAGTCACCGGGAAGAAGAAGTAGAAGTCCTTCTGTTGCTGTAACTAATCCGGTTTGCAAAGTAGTCAGTCACTTCAGCAGTTTATTTCAGTGAACTTTCAACTCTAGGCATCACCACAACCACCACAAGTCATTCGTACGCTGAACACTGTTCAGAAAAGAAGCAGCACTTTAAAGAAGAAGGAAAAGAAATGACACAAACTTGCCAACTGAAGGTGACATCAAGTGACGGCGATGGTGGTGGAGATACTTTGAGAGGTCCTCGAAGAGTAATGCCCAAGGGTAACTTTCTCAGCAATGTCAGTTTCAATTACAATTCTGATTTTAAACTTTTTTTCTCAACCACCTTTAGCCGCTACTCAATGGACGTTTTTTGTCGTCGTTTTCCTTCTTTGGGCTACTCACAATTGCTCTACAGCGGCAGCAATTGTGTCCACAGAAACGCTTGCCACCAACACCGAGCAGATTACCACCAATTCGATTAGTCTGAGTGAGGAGATGATGACCACCACCACGACTGCCAACGACTCAGCTGCTGTACATGCCATCAATTCATCAGTTTTACCAGCACCAATTCAGCCAGTGAATCAACAACTTTCCCTGTACGCCATTGACGGCGACACTTTGGACCGACTCTTTGCGCAGTACATCTCCACTGTACTGTCCAGCAGGCAGCAGCAGCTGCTGCACAGTCCAGTTGCAGCTGATGGTAGCTCCACCAATTACGGCGGTCTGGTGGACATTCGCAAGGACCAACAACTGCAGCAGATGATGGGAAGCNACTTTCCCTGTACGCCATTGACGGCGACACTTTGGACCGACTCTTTGCGCAGTACATCTCCACTGTACTGTCCAGCAGGCAGCAGCAGCTGCTGCACAGTCCAGTTGCAGCTGATGGAAGCTCCACCAGCTACGGCGGTCTGGTGGACATTCGCAAGGACCAACAACTGCAGCAGATGATGGGAAGTGGAAGTTCCCCCTTATCAGCAGTGAATGAGAAGGCGGTCATACTGCTGAAAGGGTCACACTCTCAGCTGGTCATCAACGGCAACTTCGTGCAGTACATCTACAATGTAGACAGTGCCAAGTGCAATCTGGCGCATCATCACAGTGCCTCAAATGAAAATGGTAATGCTCAAACAGAAAAACCCGAACTCAGTTCACCATTACCAGAAGAAAAAGAAGCCGAAACATCACCACCACCACCGCTGGCAGACATTAAATCAATTTCTCAGCAACTTCCAGTGGCTAACTTGCCTGCAACAACCGCCGTTTCAATTCCAGTTGCTACCGCTTCCGTTTCCGCTGCTCAATCGTCGAGCTTTATTTCAACACAGTTTACTACGCTTAAACCGACGCACGCGGAATCGTCTTCTCCAAATCCAACGCTTTCATCATCATCATCAGCTAGCAATCTATTTGCAACCCAAATTTCAACACAGCTGACGACCACCAAACGACCAGGTTTTACCAGGTTTCCTAATTCGGCCACGGAAAATCTTTCTCTTGCAAAATCTACCTCAAACAGCGACAGTGGCAGCGGCGGGAGCAGCAGCAGCAACAGAAAAAGCAGCACTGAAAAGCAATCAGTCAGCAGAAGCACCGGCGGGCCATCGATCACTGTTTCTACAAGCAGCAGCACGCCAAAAACTACAACCAGCACAATTAGGCCAAGAGTATCAATAGTGGTGCTTACTCCAATGTCCACAACACGATCGTCCACTCTGGCACTGACAGCCACGACTGAGCTGCAACAGCAGCAGAAGCACCAACATGATTCATTAATCAGCATCAAATCGACATCCACTGCTAAATCCTCTTTCACAGGCGGCAGCACCACCACCACCACCACTACTGCCACCAGAAGTAAAAACAGAAGTACTACTCGACCATCGTTCACCACCACCATCACCACCAGCACTGCTGCACCTCTAACGGACCAGCTAACGACCATGAGCAGCAGCCCCTCGAATAGCAAAGTGATCAGCAGCAGCAGTGCACCGCCACCTTTCACCTTGACCTTTGCACCGTCACCTTTGGCTTCGGTGGCAGTGGCCACAAGCACGCGTTTGTCGCCGTCTTCATCCCCTTCACCGGCGAACACATTTCAGCCTACTTTATCAACACTCACCACCACATCGTCATCAGCAACATCAGCAACGACATTGCCAAGTAAATCCCCTTTTATCAGCAAGGGGCCACTAATCTTTAACCGCAGCAGTACCTCCACTGCACCTAGTAAAAGCACTAAATCTGGCAGCAGCAACGGCACTTTATCGACCATCGCATCAAGCCATTCATTAAATTCTTCGAGCAGTAATAGTAATTCGGTCAAAGTGAATTCACCGATTTCACTGGCTACAACGGTGAGGAGTACCACCACCACAACTACCGCTGCTGCTGCTGTTAACGATTTGTCCACTAATCTCGGATCATCATCAAGTTCAGCGTCGGCCGACATCGGCGGCAGTAGCAGTGGCACTGCTGTCAAAGCAACTACACCTGTGGAATTGTCAACAACAGCTGCATCATCATCATCCTCCACCACGACCACCGCTCTTCCAACTATTCACTCTTCTATCACTGCATCGGCTAGCAAGCGGATAGTGCAGTCTATCATCAAGAAGCAGCAGACAACTTTATCGGTGTTCACTACTACAACTAGCACATCATCACCGCCACAGCCGCCGTCTGCCACATCTGAGTCAATTCTAGAGAACACCATTGAGGTGGAGGCAAACAATAGATCTAGTAGTACTGCTACTACTACAGCAAGTACTACTACCACTGCCAGACGCTGGTCAACCTCGGAAAAGCCTAAACTACCGGAAGAAGTTATGGACCAGTCGGACGACAAAATGCAGTCTGTGAGCTCAACAGCAAACACTGTGCCTAGCAATGCAAGTACGACAACAACAATGACAACAACAACAACAACAACAACCAAAACTGGCGCTCTAAAAACAAGCCTGCACGCAGTCAAAATCAGCAGCAGCACCAGACGCCCAGCTCCTGGTCAAAGCAGTTCAAAGAGCAAAGTGACCCGATTTCCCTCTCCTATAGTCAGCTGGCACCGAAACCAGTCGAGCACGCCTCCGTCGACGCTCTCCGTGAAGCAAGCCCTGAAGACGACCCTGCGTTTTCGGCCACCGCCGTCGACAAAGAAGGCAGGGCAGTCAACGACGACCACTCGTTTTGTGCCCACCCGTTTTTTGTACCCCGCGGCGCCCACTTCTGCCGCCACCTCGCTACTGGCCAGCAGCACCCGAGCTGTCCGGCTGCCCTTTGACGAGCTGTACGAGCTGAAGCGGCGTTTCATTGAGAATAAGCGAAACTTCTTCAGTCGCATCCTCTCGACGACCACTACAAGGCGCCCGCTCTTTCCCTCCTTTGCCAAGTGGATTATTCAAGGCAACTTCCGCCAGGGTCGTCGACGTTAGGTGAACAGTGGAGCATCATCATTTTTATCATTTTCATTCATCCCCTTTTTCATCACTATCACCACAATCTCCACATCAAATCACATTCATCAACTCACGATCTCACTCATTTGCATCCGTTTCTTTCATCCGTTCATATTTTCAAAGTAAGTTTCAGCTTTTTTCTTTTTCATTTTTCTCTTTTTCTCACTTGCAAATCACTTGTGGTATCAACTTTCAACATTGACACTTCACACCTGCCTGTGTGTTTTCCACTATCATTTGCGTTGATCTTTGCTGTGATGAGCAGGCATCTACGATCACTTGAATCTTCTCACGATTCTCACCGACGGGCGCAAAGCTCGTCTGCAAACAATATTGCTCGCAATTGTAGTGGATGTTTGTTCTTTTGTTGCTTTTTGTCTGCTATTTTTAGGGGAAAAAGGGACGCTTTTTACGTGCAAAGATTATGGCCGTTTCCTGTGAAAAGTACGCGCACATGTCGCAGTACGTTTTGCGCGTCTTGGACAGGTAGCAATTTCTGACCACGACCAAACTCGGTGAGTCAGCCAGTTGACTAAACAGATAGAAGGAGAGAGAAAGTATGTTTTTTGGCAAACACATATTGTACATTGTGCCTACTAGTGGTCAATAATTTATTCGATGCTTTTTACTGCTTTTGCAAGCTATTGCAATGATCGGTAATTCCAGACAGGCATCCTTTTGCCATAACCTCCCTCAGCCACCACCACAACCACCACCTACAACAGGTCTAATCTTGTGATTTACTCGCCCAGTGTGTCAACGCTGTCAGTGCTAGTGCGAACGAAGAAGACTGCAACTGACTGATAATGATGATGGTGATCATGCTCATCTCTCTTTCTCTCTCTCACTAAGCTCAGAAGTTGTTCGATCAATTTGAACGAGTGGCGATTTAGCGATTAGCAGTGGGGGTGAATTACTTGGCTATTCATAATTGATATGTGTGTGTGTGCTGGATAATTAATTATAACTACTCTGCTGTTGTGTGAGTGCTTGGTTAGTACTGAAGTTGTAGTTAGCGTTTGGTGCTTTACTGGTTTTTGATGGTGGCTTCAACAGTGGCAATTAGTGTTAAGATGAAGCACCAACAGCAGCATCCTCCGATCCTGCTATCCAGCTGAACAGATTGCTAATTAGAAAGTCACTTTCTGAAGACAACGACGACGACGACTATTGCTGCTGCTGCTGTTGCTGATCAGCGCACAATTGTACTTCAGTCCAGTGCGCCTTCTATCCCCTTTTTTAGCCGACGCGATGAGTGGAGTTGGAGAGGATCAATGGGCCAATTGATTTATTGCTCGGCTCGTCTTCTTTTCTCTCTTTCTTGCCTTTATCTTCTTGATTTTTTGTTTCTTTCCTTTGCCAGCAGTGGCTTATTGACTAGAATTGAAGGCCACCAACAGATGTTACAGACAAACTTGGTGGTGGTGGACTGTCCCAGCATGGTCATATGCAGTCAGTCAATTCTCACATTGGGATGTCTATTTAGTTGTTTGACTAATTTTGCCAGTCATTTTTTATGTATTGTAAGAGAGGGAAAAAGGGAGAGAGGAAGCTTTGGTAGTCGTAAAGACTAAGGCCACACACAGTTTACATCTTTTCTTTTCTTTTTGTCTGTTCTCTACAGAGAAAGAAAGATAATCCCATCAGGGAGCGCATAATGACACCACTACCGACTGCAATTGCTAATTGTGGTTGCTCTCAGGTATTTGAGTAGGTCTGTGTGTGCTTGACTGAAATGGCCAATTAGCATTTACTACTACTACCGCCGACATCAATTGCCTGTGTATGTCTAGTTCTGCTTGAAACAGCAGAACTTATGAGGACTCTACTACTTTTTTTCTTCTTCTGGTGGTACACCACCACTTTCATCACTCAATCTGATGAAATGTCTCTGAACACAGTCGTTGTTAGTTGTCGACAGATCATACTTCAGCTTCAATAATTTAATTCGAGATGCAGTCTCGTGCAGCAGCAGCATCAGTAGACTATTGCCGAGTGTAACTGCTGCTGCTGTGAATAGACAATTTGTGCAAAGCTTTGTTTACGTCAAAAAGTGAGAAGCGCCAAATGGCAAATGATCTCTGCGCTAATGTCTTCACCGAGAATACTGTGGTTACTACTGTGGTGGTGGTGACGACAGCAGCAGCAGCAGACCCACAGTTGGCATCTTTGATCACGAAATCCATCTAATAAGCTGAGATGCTATTGCAGAGATGCCATTTGATCACATTGTCCACTGTCTATGTGTGTGTCTAGCTTCGGTTAGCATTGAGACTTGAGTTTCAGTTGCTGCACCTTATGGATTCTAAATTTGATTGTCAAAAAGTATATGTTTTCAATATGTGATGGTAAGCGGGAGAAGAAGTATTAAATTGTTAATGTTTACCTGTTGCCACCGAAGCACGCGCACTCACTCACCACCGCCGCTGATTGCTGCTCATCATCTTTAGCAGCATCCATCAATCGATGTGCCATTGATATATTCACAAGCAATCACTGCTGTGTGTGTGTGTCTGTCTCTTGTCACTCAGTGTTTGCTTTACTGCTCAGCCCAGTAGTAATTTTGCTAATGTCGAAGAGGAGTTTGAGCTGGGTGAGTGTGAGTGTGTGTGTAATGTCCGTCCAATGGTAAAGTCAATAGTAAGTCGGTGACCAATAGTGAAAACGCTTAAAAGTGAACACATTGTGTGTGTGTTTGTGTTGCAAAAACCGTTTCTATTTCAGTGCTGCTCATCAGCTCGTAATCTGCTGATGTGGTGACACTGAAAAAAAATTGTGACATTTCCTGAAGCCTTTCTTTTCCTCCTTTTTTTCTACTTTTCAACAGTCAGTGCTAATCAGCATTCATGGCAATTCTGAAGACGTTTAAGAAGAAGAAATAACCTGGTGCTCAATACTTTGCGCACACACTTATCACTGATAATTCCTGCCTCTGTATGAAGTGTTTGCTCTTGATTTGAACAAAAAAACCTTACGCTTACCTCTTTGCTATTTAAAACTTTAAAAAAGACAGTACTCATCTTTTCTTTTTCTTTTTCTACCTTCCTCTCCTTTATTGTCTTTTGTTCATATTAGGGGTGATTCAAGGTGGCACATCTTGTCGGTCAGCGAGCACCATTTTATTGTCAGGGTGAACAGCAGCAAACACAAGTGCTAGTCATTTGCAAGCACTTCCATTCTTTTAACTAGCACACAGGAGGGGAATTGATGGATTTTTTGGGAAAAAGAAAATGGGAGAAGATGATCGCTGTTTGTGCATTTTTTTCAGAAAACAAATGTTTAGTTTTGTTTACACATTTGCATCTGCCAGTGACAGTCAGCGGTGACCGTCAGTAACTGCACACAGGCATTATTCCGCAGATGTCTGCTGATTCTCGCTGCCATTTCTCTTCTTTTTCAGACAAAACNTCAGTAACTGCACACAGGCATTATTCCGCAGATGTCTGCTGATTCTCGCTGCCGTTTCTCTTATTTTTCAGACAAAACCTTTCTCCTCTCTCTCGAGAAAGAAGGTCATTGGTGCATTGTACTGGCTCGGATGGGGCAGGAGCAATACTGCTGCTGCTGCTAACATTTATTTGCACACAGAACTGCGGACAGAGAGGCACATCGATTTGCAACTTGCTGTTCTTAGCAGCCCCTTATCTCTCTCATCCGTCCGAATTCCGGCCTTTGCACGCCTGCTGTATTCTCCTTTTGCTGTTCTGATCACCACCGCCGTTGCATTGCACTTACTGTCTATAAATAGCCAGTATATCATCTATCTCAATTACAGTGGATGACCACTCTTTTCCTTTCTCTCTCTCTCTCTCTCTCTCCCGGTGAACAGTACTGTTTGTTTAGGCTCTTTTAATTACTGCCCTGTGATTGCACTTTTCCTCTCTCCGGTGGACAATGTTGTGCTTTCAATTTTAATGTAGCGCTAACGTTACTTTCTTGCTTGTGCTTGCACTTGCCTGTTTTCCTGCCTGCTTCATTCATTCTCTCTGCAGCGGCTGCCGATGAAAACGACAAAAATATCGTCTGCACGTTGCTGCAACGGGCTAAGAAAAGGGAAAGGAAGGAAAAGAAGCTAGCTAAGAGTGACTGCGTCAGTGAGAGTGAAAGGGCATTGCAGGCAGTACTGTGCCGAAGTGCAGATTGACGGCTCACTTGATGGTCATTATCATTACCAAGGGAGCATTGTCGAGTAGAGAGTACAGGAAAAAGGAGAGAGAGATTGGAGCGAAGATGAGAGAACTGATGGCAATGGACAATGGTGACTGCTGCTGTTGCTGCTGAAAATAAGAGGACATTAGGACGTTGTTGTACACCACTGATCGCACAGCACACTGTCATTATGCAAATGCAGTGACAATGAAAACGGTCGCAAAGTAGTCTTTCTTACCAGTGCAACTGTTGTTTTACTGATTTCCTATGTTAGCACATTTACGTACTGGT